AACGGAGCTCTTGCACTTACTGTATCAGCGGGTTGAGCCATGATGACTTCAATGCGTCGCAAGCGTCGGCATCGTATGTCGGATCGTGACACGGGGAGCCAATTGGGACAGTGGCTACGAGCTTCCCGTTCACGGTCGAGTTCAGTGTCGACCACGCGTTATCGGATGGCCAGTCGGCATCGCTTGGCAGACGGTAACAATCCTGGGCGCTTCCAAAGCGAGCAAGGAGTAGGGCTCCAAAGAGCGCAGCGTTGTCGATGAGCCTCATCTTGTCTTGAAAGTGCTTGATGGCAGTGATGAATACCAAGAGCCTTGTCCCGACCCTCATATATAGCCATTGTTCCCCTTACTATCGTTTTCGCATTGCCACATGCTATTCTTCTCATCTCGGAGACCATCTCAAAGAAGAAGACTTAGAATATGTCTGCTTCCTCTGTAGGTTACAACGCCGACAGAGTCCACTTGAGACATTGTGCCACATGCCGATATCAATGCAAGGAATAGCCATGCACTGGGCTGGAAGCCGGCGAAAACCTCGTGCGGGAATCGATGGCCGCACGCGAGAATGACTTACTGCAGGGCAGAGTGGGCCAACCGATGAATGGGGGATTCGCCGGGTGGCCTAACGCTTGGGGGTGGACCCTCAACGACGGATTGCTCGCTAGGATTGAGCTTCATGAAACCGTGGGATTCGTCCTCAGGCGACACAGTGTGGCGCCAGGAACCGGCGGGCGTGCAGATCTTGGCGGGCATTCGTCGTCTTGGAACGTTCGGAGGGAACCTCATTTCGGCAGCCGTGCAGCGAACGAGATGTCTAGGTGCGCACTGAGCAGCTGTTATCGCTCCACGTGCTCGCCCGCCTCCAGACCTCTGCCATTGCGCCATGCTCATCATCGCCCTTTCTGTCACATATTCGAAAGTCTAAAATTATCCTCCGTTGGTCATGGATGGTGGACGTTGTCGTTCAGGTTTTACCGTGGTTTTCGGTTGGCGTTTGTGGCGTTCGCAAGCCCATGACACACCGGACCGCACCCCACATTGCGCTGCACCGGCCTGAACAAGGCAAGACCCCTTTCTGGATGACATGCCGCCATCTCTGAAGGATGCTAGGTTCCGACCGTATATGCGCCAGCACTTCTTAACAAAGTTTGCGCTATTGGAATGCCATGGTCGGGTAGGCTTCTGCAGTCGGCACTTCATACCAATGACGGCAGCCACCATGGTAGCTACGACTCGTGGGTTTCAGTCCTGGGCCTTACAAGAGACGCACTATAAACCGCACGAGGGATCCCTGCGTTCATCATATTCGAGGATCACCTTCCGTTTAGAGGCGGAAGATAAATGGTGGAACCTGTCCCGCTGTCGCTTTACTTGAGACCTCCGCGATATCCTACGCACCCGTTACAAACTCGGGGGTCCGCCCATCTGTCTTCAACATTCGGATTGTCTTGCGCAAACGTGGCGTGAGAGCATCGACATGGCCTCTTTCATTCGCACATGCATGCTGTTGTGGCTCGTTACCATCTCCATGGTACATGCAGCACAGCAGCCAGCCCTGTCAAAGCTTCCCGCATGTGCTGTAAGTACCTTGCAGCCCAACTTCTTAACATTTCGCTCACCCTTGCAGCAACTGTGCCTCTTGAACGCTTTCAGTACGAACACCTGTTCTCCAACAGATCAAGCATGTATTTGCACGAACGATGTCTTCCAAAACAACGTAACGCTGTGTGTGAGCGCCAGCTGCACCATCCCTGAAGCTCTAGGTACTTGCACCTATCCCGACGGAAGAGAAAAGGAGGCTGACGAACATGAAGTTACGCGCAACATCAGCCTGACCACCTGCGGAGCCCCGGTACGGGATCGCGGACAAAGCTATGTGCTGTTGTCAAACGTCATGGTATGCATAGCTGCAGCCTTCGTTGCGATGCGTTTCACCTTCAAGGGCACCGTGTCGAGGATGGACTTTGGCTACGACGACTGGTGCGTGCTGGCGACACTCATAGCCGCTATACCCAGTGCCGTCATCACTGTTTTTGGCACTGTGAAGAATGGACTTGGCCAAGATCTCTGGACCCTGACACCGACGGAGATCACTCAGATGCTGCAATATTTCTACATCATGGCCTGGCTCTACTTCACGCAGCTTATGCTGTTGAAACTCACGCTACTGTTCTTCTACATCCGCGTGTTCCCCAGCAAAGGCGTTCAACGACTACTATGGGGTACAATCGTCTTCACCATACTCTGGGGTGTCGCCTTCATCATCGTCGCGATATTTCAATGCCAGCCCATCCAGTACTTCTGGACAAAATGGGATGGCATGCACGAAGGTACTTGTCTCGAAATCAACGCCATCACTGCATCGAACGCGGCCATATCCATCGCCTTGGACTTCTGGATTCTGGGTGTACCTCTTTGGCAGCTTTGGGGCTTGAAGCTACACTGGAAGAAGAAGGTCGGTGTAGCGCTTATGTTCTGCGTTGGTACCTTCGTCACCGTCGTCAGCATTCTGCGTTTACAAGCTTTGGTTCACTTTGCCGCTTCCTCGAACGTGAGCTGGGAGTTTTACGACGTCTCGATGTGGAGCACGATTGAAATCTGTGTCGGCATCATGTGGTAAGTTCTATACTCGTACTCATATATCGCATTTATTAACGTTCCTACCAGCGCCTGCCTTCCAACCCTCCGTCTTCTCCTGGTCAGACTCTTCCCCATTCTGGGCGGCTCATCGGCACGCAGCCGTCAATACTACAACTACGGCAGCAACAACGAACTCAGGAACGTCAGTCAAAAACACAAGTCGTACAACTTGAACACGGCTATATCGAGCCCTCGTTCAGAGTCGTTCGACACGAAAGTGGAAGATGGCATCAGAGTCAAGACATCGTATCACGTGAAGCACAGCCATAGTCAAGGAGACACAGATGAGGCTAGCTTGGTTAGCTATGAGGGAAAGCGGAGGCCATAGTTTTGCATCCGATATAGTAATGATAATGAGTATTTCGTACTACCTTACATTCCCCGCATGAACACATGTTACCTAGGTACTTTGACGACTGCGTCTGCCGGTGATGAAACCTATGCGAGACGAACTTTACCTTCAAACAGCCACTTGCCAAACGTAACTTTCCAGACGCGTGGTAACTGCCGTGATCGACAGGTGCTGAAGCACCCACCTCTCGCGATTTCGGTTGACCCATCAAAGGGTAACGCAGATCACCGGAGTATCACCGACATCCTCGTGGAAGATCACACTAGTTCCACGTGTCGGCGATCTTTGTATGCGATTGCGACAAGGCCTGAACGAACGGTCGGTGGCCTTATTCAATGCACCATCTAAGTATCACGATAATTTCCATCACGGCGAAAGGTTCCGTAAATGGCGTCTCTCAGGCACCCCTTCAAGTGCTGCCTACCCCACAACACGAATCATCCCGTATCCGCAATGATGGCAAACCCGGCCGAGCTGCGACGAGCTTTCGCGGTGGAATAAGACCGACGAGTCGTAAGTCTGCGATAGTTTGTGGTACGGCAGAGCTACGGGTCCGATGTGGGCCCGATCTCTGGGTACCTAGGTAGCCGATTGTCGGCTGTGCGCAGATGGAGGCTGTTAGCAACGACTACCTACTGCTAGCGATGGCACTTGTCTTCTGGAAGAAAGACTAGTCGAGCAGAGGATTACTCGAATTTAGCCTGGTTCATTTTCAACGTACACCACCGTATCGGCCGACTTACCAAGTTTTGTGGCTGGTGGCACGTGCCCTGGAATTACGTTGCAGTGGCTGAAGTGGCCTTGGTGATGTCGCATTCAACGAGCAAGGCGCTTGCCGACGTTGCGCTCACAATTTCGGATCGAATGAAGACTTTGCGCTGCGAAAGCTGGAAATACGAAGATGCAAAACCTGCAGGTGGTCTCTGGCGTGCCTAGTGCCGGGTGAGAATGTCGTCATCAACGTCGCAGCAGTGATTGTGCAATGCATTGCGTCTTTGAATAACGCCGAAAGTTTGCGCGCACGCATGCATGTCCTCAACTCGCACATCTAGCAATTGCGACTTGTCACGATGTGTCGGGCGATCAAGTGTGATAGCCTCACGCGTAGGTCCAACTCATCTGCACTACCTAGGTAAGTGTCTGGAGTAACACGTTTCACGTGTCAACCAAACTTCATAACGCAGCTAAAGAACTTACAGGGAACTGCCGAAAGCATGTATCGCATGTCGGTATTACAGGGAGCCTAGAAGGAAGATCTTATCGGCTCCTACTTAGTGCGGCTCCCGCTTTCACATGACCTCGGGATTAAGAAATTGACTTTTACGTCTGCGCCTCAACGCAGATCTCACAGTATACGAATGCGACATGCTAGCAAAATCCTCAAAACTGAGGGCATACTGTTATTTGCAAATGCTGAATATCGACCCAGCAGCGCATGTTAGCCGTGCCGGCAAATGCCTTATAATCCAGTTCACAGAGACCGGGGATGACGTAGAAAGAGTGAGTATAACGATCAATAGCATTGTGCAACATTATGGATTTTAGGTTGAGGCTTCCGGGAGGGATGATGGAAACAGATCTTTCATAAAGCCGAACAGAAGAGTGATCTAAGGGAGGCAACGGGGCTTGCGCAATGCTAATGTTGTCAGTATGACATCGCTGTCGTCTCGACCCAGCTGCTGTGCTTCTGCATTTGGTACCAAGTCGTCGCAATCTTTGTGGCAAGAGAACTGCTGATTAGAGTAGATTATTATCATCATCATATTATTACTGGATGAATATGATATATTATCTGGTTCCAGTGGACGGGATGAGGCTGCACTCACCTCAGCTTTATCGGACGGCCTTGTGCAGCTTTTGCAGCTTCTGCATCGCACCTTGACCGTATCTATCACAACCCAGGGCTTCATTCATGTGGCTCAGTGCTGCTCTCAATTCAAACCTTTCAAATTACAAGACGCTCACCTTCAATAACATGGCTCCGTTGCGCACGCCTGCACGGCACCAAATGTCACCTACTACTGGTTCTTCTCTCGCCCTCCGCCATGGGGTGCAGTCCACTCGTCCAACAGCCATCGCTCACGAGCTTGTAACTATACATTGCGAGACCAGCTCCCATCAATAGTGCTGATGTCTCACAGAACAAAACCTTCGCGGACATTCGCGCCACTGCCGTACTCTACGATGAGCATCTTTCGAAGATGCAAGTCCAGATCCGTACTCTCGCAACTGAACGTACTGGGATCTTGTATGACAAGGACGCAGCGATCACAGGGCTGAAGCGCGAAGTCCACGAACTACAAGCCCAGAAGACAGCTCTCTCGCGCAATTTGCTTGAAGAGAGTAGCAATATGAAACTGGCGGTGGCGTGCGGTGAGGATCTTGCAAAACAGCTTGGAGTTCAAGGCAAGGAGGTTGTGACGCTCAAGGATAGGGTCACCGAGCTCGAGAGTGAATTAGCTAAAGAGAAAGCCAAATACATCGCAGAAAGAGGCGCGAACGAGAAATTACGCAGCATCAGCGAGAAGTGCGCCGAGATTGCAAGACTTGTGGGGGGTCATCAGTAGGTGAGAGGAGTTCTACTTGTGCAACTGGCTAGATAGACAAAAGCGAGATGCGAATTGCAGATCCAGATGCTGAGTACAAGGGTACGTCTGCAGATAGAGATCACGATCTTATACAGAGTAGTCGGTGTATAGCTTGAACTTCCAATCTCACCTTCACTTTTGCCTCCGCCATCATACCGCCATTGCAGACCCCGTCCACTCTGTTTGCAGCATCTCAACCTAACTTCTACCTTCCACTAGAGCTGCAGCCCAAACATGATCTCTCGTACCTCGTCTCCCGACAATATCGCAACCTCCCAAAAAAAATGTCGAATAAACGCTCGCTCTCGTATGCGCAATGGTAACGACAAGACAAAACAATCGCGGTCGCAATCCATCGTTTCGAGAGCTTTTCCCCCGTCGCGACATCCGCCCACGTACGCCGACGAGCACTGTGAGTGAACGTAACGAAGACATTCACGAATCATACTGATAAGCCACAAGCCGCGCTCTACAGCACACGCTGCCGCAGCGAGATCGTCCCTCACCGCGTTGATCAAAGATCTAAGAGCACAGGAGCGACAGGTTCTCAGTCTAAGCAGCGCGCTCGATAAAGAGCGGTTGGAGCATGAGAAGCACATTGAAGACCTAGAAACAACACACGCGAAAGAGATCGCGGCCGTCAATGAGCATCACGATCGCCATCTTGCGCAGATCGAAGTGCGTCACAGCGAAGAGCTCACGCGCGTCAAGTTGTGGTGTGTGATGAACCAACCAAGGCCAAACGAATTATCACGGGTTCGCGAAAGGCAGCGGAGGTCAACATTGGAAGCCGAAGTGGAGAAGACGAAAGAAGAGGCGAAGATGAGAGCTCTTTGGCAAGAGACTAGAATCCAGGAACTGGAGCGCGAAAACGACCATGTTAAGCATCAACTGGCAAACTCGCAGAGGGATTCACAATGGAAGAACTGGATGAAGACGATAATGTCATAATGCCTGCCCGTCCTCCCGGCGAGTGCCGACTCAAACCCCCGAAGGGGTGAGTCAAGGTCTCAAACCGGGAGGACTAAGACAAGAGTAAAAAGCTAGCTACAAGAAAGGAAACGTATACAAAACAAAGTACAACAAAAAACGATGCAGCGAATGCAGACCCATGGGTATCGTCGCGATAAACACCAAATCAAAACCAAAGCCAAACCAAAAACTCCAATGCTCAAAATTTTTGATGAGAGCCAAAACAAACGCCCAGTACCCAAGATGCATCTTCCCATGCTCTCGAGTTGTCGCTGAAAAACCAAATGCGCAACACCGTGTCGTGTGGAATCGTAAATGCGGAGTCGTGTCTTTTTCTTCTTCCCCTTCTAGTCGATGGAGTATTCTAGAATTATACCGCAATGAAGGACAAGTCGTCGTAATCATCAGAGAGCATGGACAGGTGGACGAAGTCCTCCTCGGCTTGCTCCAAAGCCACCTTATGACTGTGTGCGCGCTCCTCCCAGCCTAGGCTGATGCCACTGAGTTCGATAGCCGACATCTTAGGTCGGCCAGTACCATGTGCGTTCGAGATTTGATATGTTGGGTTCTCCTCGAGCACTGGGCTTGATGGCTCAAAAACGAGGAATTCATCATCGTCATCGAGGTAAAGCCTCTCATAGCATTTCCTCCAATTTCTGTCGACATGCTTGTAGGTGTCCAGACTGATCAACGTCTGGCGCACGTTCCATTTGAATGCCCAGCTGTTTTCGCGCTTGCGCAGCCAATGGTTCTCATTGTCGAGGGCTTCGAGCATAGTCCTGAGCTTGCTGGGATGAGCGAGCGGGTCGTCCTCTTCCCGAGGTTGCTCGACTGGAGCGGCAATGGTCTCCATGGCGTGTCCTGCGTCGTTTTGCGCATGCTCGTCGGCATTGGCCAGGCGCTCTCTCAAAACCTCAATCTCCATCATCTGGGATCGATTCAGAGCCTGAAGATCCATGATCTTATCATGACGTGTCGTGAGCTCTTCTTGGAGAGCCTCGAGACCTTCGGTCTTGCTGGTAGCGTCCTTGATCTTGGCCATCAAGTGCTCAATCTCCAATTCTTTGGTGGCGATGACTTGCTCTCGCTCGTGAATCTTCAGAACGGTTGCACGATGCTCGACGGTAAGAGTTTGTAACTGGCGCACAGCCTCGTCGTCCTTCTTCCGTCCCGCCTCAACCTCCTTCGCCTTCTGAGCCCAGGGCGTAGGTCCGTGCTCGATCTCGATGGCTTTTGATAGTATGCCGGCTTGGTCGGCCCAGGAATTCAGATGGTAAGTGATGGTGTTCAGGTGGGCAAACATGAAAGCATAATTCTGATCGACATCGAGATTATCGATGTTGTCTTTGATCGCGCGAAGCTCAAGAGCAGGGACTGGCTCGGTGTCGGATAGGCTGGTGCACTTCGCAACCTCCTCGATCAGGCTGCGAACGAAAGCGGCAAGGGTTCCAGCAGCCGATGCCAGCTTTTCGTCGTATCTGAAAGCGTCCTCGAAATCAGATGGTCGTTCCGGAAACATATTATCCTGAACCAGAGCCTTCAGAGTCCGTTGCAACCTGGCCGCAGCCGTGGATGTAGCCTGCAAAGTATCGACTGGCTCGTTGAAATGAATGAGCATCTTTGCGCACTCTTCGCGTATGCTCTCGGGCACTTTCTCTAGGACGAAGTGTGCCAGATCGTAGATGTAGAGGATATAGTTTATCCTCGCGTGGAGCGAAGTCGCTATGGAGAGGAATTCTCCCTCTGGTCGTGCAGCAAGGACCTCTTGGTGGCTTGACAGAATTGCTTCATGTGTCTTGGTCGATCGCTCCAAGGACCCAGCAAATTCTTCAAAGTTGAGTGTGTCTGCTTTGAGAGCGTTGAGGCCTTGATCAAGAACCTGCTCTACCGAGATCAATTCTTGGTACGTCGGGCCAAAATTGGCGAATTCGGGAAGTGATAAGCCACGAATGGCAGACCAAAGACGGTTGCTTCCGTCTTTAAGGACCTCCAGGTGAACAATGGACTCTTCACAGACGAGTCTGGAGACGGCATCGTCCAATCGACCGCCATTGCTCATGTGACGACAGGTGCTCCTCAACACATTGACAAGCAGCTTGGATTTCCCAGCGATCCTTTCTGTTGCGAGGTAGGCTTGGAGAGACTCGCTTCGAGTGAACTCCTTGGACTCTGTCTCGTTCCAAATCTCGAGCTTTTCAGCAAGCTGATCTGCCTTGAGCGATACCAGCGAAGACTCAATCTCTCGTGTGGTCGACAACACAGTGGCTGCACGAAGTTGGCGGTTAAGGTCCATCACTTCGTTGAAGCGACCGGTGGTATCCTTGACTTGGGCTTCCGTCATAGTCTTGGAAGACTCAGCGTCGGCCATTTTGGTTTGTAGGTCCATGACGAGGTCTCGGAATTTGGAGATCAGAGACTCTTGGTCGGCGATGATGTGGGTCTGTTCGGTAATCTGGCGTACTTGCTCAGCGAGCTCGTTGTTCTTAGCGTCAAGCTCTGCAAGCATGTCCTCTTCTTGCTCAAGGTGTTGAGCTTCTAGCTCGTCGTTGAGTTCCCGTAGGTTCTCAAGATCTTGTACGACCAGATCTTGCTCCGCGATTCTATCTTGGAGATTCTGGTTTTGTTGGGTCAACTCCTCGACCATCTCCTCCCATTCATTGGCAGCGTCCAACTGCTGTTTCAGGTGGTCGACAAGATTTTCGGATACAGAGAGACGTTCTTGGAGATTGGCATTGTCTTGTCGGTAGTACTCAAGTTGTGCGACGTCGCCCTCGAGCCCGAGAATGTGTGCCTTGAAGTCTTGTTCCCGCTCCTCTGTCATCTCTTTCAGAGTGATCAACGCCTGTCGCATGCGATCATTCTCGTGTTGGAGACGGTAGTATCCAGCCTCTTGCTTCTGATCCTCTGACATTTCTGTTGTGAAGAGATCGGCCTCATCGCGAAGAATGTCAAGCTCCAGCGTCTGTTCTTCCAGGCGTTTGCGCAACGACTCGATTTCTGCCTCGGCTTGATCCGCCCTCTCCTCGGCCATCTCCTTGTCCACCAAGGCATCCTCCAAGTCCACCTCGTGGTCCTGGTGTGATCTGTTGAGAGCCTGTTGTTCCAACTGAAGTGTGTTCACTCTATCTTTCAGCTCTTGTATCTCGGTGTATTGAGCTTGACACTTGTTCTGGAGCCGCTGGATGATGCCGCTGTAGCGCTCTTTCTCGTCGCGAACCTGAGCATACTCTCTCAGGCGCTCTTGGTCTTCCGCGTGTTGCTTCTCGAGATGCCTAATCTTGGTGTGCAGATTGTCGACGTTGTTATCCCGACTTGCTTTGCCAGCATTGCTTGTGACTGAAGATGCAAGACTCGGTCTTGAGGTTGATGGTGTAGGACGAGAGGGTTCGGGACGAGAAGGTTCTGGGCGGGAGGATTCGGGTCGAGAGAATGGGGCGCGAGATGATTCAGCGGCAGAGTTGCTTGACGTGCTCGCCACGCTGGCCTTGCGGACTGGGCCACGCGAAGGCGGTTGTGATGTTGAGGGAGCTGCGACTGACTGCCGCTTGCTCAATGTGGTTGTCCTTGTAGTGGTTGTAGGCTTAGGGGCAACCACGCTTGATGGGCGGGCTCTGGGTGTGGTGGGTGGTGCCTTTGTTTTGGAGACCGCTCGTGGAGTAGGAGGAGCCGGTGCGGGGGCTGCCTCAGAGAGGATGCTGACAATGCTAGTGTCGCGGATGAACAGCCCGTGGAGAGGTGCGCAAGTGAAGTAACGCTCTCCGCGTACGGAGCCATCGTTCTTGCCATCAGCAGTTGGGAGTTCTATTCCCACAAATCGCCCCTCTGAGACGTGAATGGGGCCTAGGTAGCGGACGATGCCGTCTACACCGCCAGAAGTCTCGACCGTCTGGCCGAGCTTGAGATTGAGGGTAGTCATGGCTACTGGAGACTACCCAGGAGCAATGCTGAGAGTGTGGAGAGAAGCAGTGGCAGACAGCGTGGTGACTGAGTGCAGTGTGGTTACCTGACGCGACGCGTCGAGAAGCAGCTGCGCGTGAGGGGGAGAGCAATTGCGAACAATTGACTCAGCTGAAGTGTGAAGAGTGCAGAGCAGAAGAAGAAGCAGATACGCAACAATGCAGTAGCAGCGGCTTGAGAGTGTTGTGGTTGTGGGAAGTGGCATGGGGCAGCTGCAGAAAGTGTGGTGTACAGGTGAGAAGGGAGGAGCGAGGTGGCCGGCTTTTACGTGAGGGCTGGCTTGGCGCGGCGATGGCTCGGATCAAGGCGCTAAACCTCGGACGCGTCTCGGACGAGCTGCTGTTCGCGCTAATGGACCCTGACCCACGGGAGCACCCGACGCTAGCCCATCTGAGCGCGTTTGAGCGCGCTCAACCGCGACTTTCGTTTTAACATGACGCCCATGAGGCCACTTTCTCCCTTTCCCAGCCACCCTATACACAGATGGGGTAAGCCTTGAGGCAGTTTTCTGCCGGACATCCGCAACCACGCCACTCGACGCGTCTGAGTTTTGCTACCGCGTACATTCCGTGCCACGCCTCTTGCGATGTGTAGTATATGATGATGCTGTATATGGGAGTTGTTCCTTCACATTTGATGTTCCGCTATGATTATACCGCCACCTGTTTGCTGTTTTTTCTGAGTGTTCATGCGCGTCGTGCGCCCGCATGTGCAAGATGCCTTCTACATGCGCGCTGCATCACTCTCAAGCTACTGCTGCCGCCTTTTGCCTCAACATCGCAGATGCAAAGCCCTTGGTATCGTGCATGTCGCCGCCATGCGTGCACTATTTGCATATAGATGCATCCGTACCTAACCAGCATTAGATGTGTGTATGCATTGACATGTGGTATATCACGCGGTGAGCTTACGAAGCTATGCCCTCTCGTTGCAGTGCGCGATTTCATACATTTCATGCAAGACATGATATAACTACGCATAGATCTGCGACTACCACATGCCAGCGCCCATTAAACTTGTCC